ACTTGAATCGAACTATCAGCCTCTACGACTGGAAGTCACGGGGGTCTCGCTGGGCGTGGTTGTATGGGCTCAATATTATTTGGGTTCGGGTTCTGGGCCTGGTCGTAACTGCGTTTCCTTTACCAGATTGGATTAGGGTTAGACCTAAGAGAAGTACTATAAATATTTCTCATACTCCTCTATAATATGTATCTTCTCGAAGTATAGTGAAACTGCCCGTGGACTAGCTAACACACATTGTGTTAGTGAACCACGTAAATCATGTGTTGTGTGTGCTTTCGTTTCTTGCATTGTCTAATTCTCCTATATCCTGATTCGTAGAGCAACAGTCGTTACAATCCTACTTCTTGGATTGAGCAGTACCTGAAGCACAACCATAAACCAACAATCATTCTCGAGGCAATGGCTTCATACAACACCTGGATATGGCATGCTTTCTTCGGCGTACCTGGGTCGAACGACATCAATGTTTTGGGAATGTCTCCGGTGTTCGACCGTATCCTCAACGGATCCGCTCCACAAGTACGTTTTGAGGTAAACGATCATACATATGATCAATGTTATTATTTAGATGATGATATTTATCCTTCTTGGTCAACTTTAGAGAAAACATTCAGCAATCCAAGCTCAAACAAAGAAGACTTGTTTGCTCGATGTCAAGAACCACATCGAAAAGACGTAGGACGGGCCTTTTGAATTCTTCAAGCTAGATCGTTTATGGCCTTGCAAGATCTTGGGATGTTGCCACAATTAATGATATCATGTTGAATTGCATTATATTGCACAACGTGATTATCAAGGATGAGCAGGTTGATTCTGACGATGAAATGGAAGATAGTCTTGATTATGAGGTCCACGACCAACAACCAACTAATGCCAACAGAGATATTCCAACCCTAACTGAGTACTTGGCTAGGAATAATAGGCTTCGTGTTGCACTAACACATCATGGGCTTCGTCAGGACTTGGTCGAGCATATTTGGAACTTGAATGAAAATAATTAGTCATTGTTTTGCTTGGTATCAATTTGTTTTGTAATTCAAGGACACATTTTCATTTCAATAATATATTTTGCATTCTTAAATCGATCTAGTTTTTTTTACACACAACTTCAAGATGATAACATAAATTTGAAATTGAATAAATTTAATTTAAATCATCTTATCAAATAAAACAAATAAAACAAAATATTAAACACAAATTAAAGAAACCTAAAAAAATATAAACATGAATTCTCATTCCCTTAATTAATCATAAAACATTCCCCTTAATTAATTCCCCTTATTAATTACCAATTAAACAAAAAATACAGCTGTTGGGTGGTGCACCGCGCATGGGAAAGCCGTTCTCCCTTGTGCGTGTTGCGCACCACCCAGCAACGTGCCCACTCCCCAAAATTACCGGGTTCGCCATTCCCTCCCCTAATTGTACACATTTTACTCCTCATTTTTTGATAGTTTGGCTTTGCATTTCATCGTCCCTCGACATATTTCACGCTAGGTTGTGCTTGTTTTGATACATTTCGGGTCCTAGAACGTATGGAAGGGTCGATGACGAGTTCGGGACGATTGGAGGTCATAAAGCGCCAAAACCAAAGAAAAGTCCAAAGTCGTAACAGTGAAGCGCAGGAGTCCAGGAAGCAGTCGCAGTTCACGACCTAGCATTGGAGTTCACGATCTCTAAGGACGTGAACTTGAACCACAAACCATGAACATCGAGGCGTCCAACGAGGTTCCAGAAGTTACTGACGCCAAGGGAACCGTGAACCCAGGAGAGTGAAGCGGTGCGTTTTGGAGACGACATTGAGTTCACAGACGCGTTTAGGTGTTCACGGCCATGAACTGGGCAACGCGGTCGTGAATTGGTCACTTTCGGGCAAATATGAAGACAACAGCGGGGAGAGAGAAAGGGGGAGCTGGTTTTTGGAGAAGGAACACTTTCTTTCTCTAGGGTTTCAACCCAAAACACCAAAGTGGAGATCTAGTGAGAGAGGGAGTGATCTTGGTGCTTAATTGAAAGCATTGATCAAGCTTGGAAGCTAGAAATCAAGCCTAGAAGAAGAAGAAGAAGATCTAGATGTTTCTTTGTAATCTCTCCTCTCTCTCTAGAAACTCACCCTCTTCTCTTGGGTTTAAGAACCCTAGGTCTAGAATTGGGTTTAATGTTGTTGTATGTGACAAACACCATGATTGATTGATGATTTTACTTAATTGATGGATGTTTTCATGAACGACATGAGTTGGGTTTCCATTTTCTTGTATTGAGCTTTTGACCTAAGAGGGAGACAATCCTCTTAGAGCCCCCTTTTGGCGTCTTCGGGTCACTCCTATCGTATATTGTCCGGGTAGTACCCGAGGGAGTTGATTCGACCGGTCTCCTAGCATTATACAAAACCCTAGGTTGAATAGAGCACTACCCATCCATCGATTCGCCATTCCAGGTCATTCCCGAGGGAGTCCATCTCCAAACGGTAGTGTACTTGTGTCGATCGAGCTAGGAGGATACCCAACATCGATCCAAGGAACGGACCTAGGACGATTCAAACCAAGACAGCTCCCAACCTTGTAAATAGCCAGGTTAGTGGTTAGTCTAGGTTAGTTAGTTTAGCTTTATCAATCACTACCCTAGGTTGGCTAGATAATGAACCCTAAACCTGAAGTAGGGTATGCCAAGATCCCCGTGGTATGATAAATCTTTATTGCTTGCTTGCCCTATACTACACCCGGTCGGCGGTTATACTTGGTCGTCGATCGGGATGTTGTAGTTAGAACGAGTCAAGTTTTTGGCGCCGTTGCCGGGGAACCATTCTAGGTTATTTGAAAAAGCGTTAGGTCGTTACTTTAGCCGTTTTGTTTTGTGTTTTGTATTTGATGACCCACTCTTCTCTTAGAAGGGTGGTTTGTGTTTGTTTGATTTTGTTTTTGTGTTTTTGTTTATGTAGGTTGAATCATGGATGCCAATGGCTTCTAGAACATGTGGGGGGTATCCACAACCACCCGAATGGGGATAAACCTGGAGCTTCATGGAGTGACCAAGAAGGTGGAAGCCAAGGAACCAGATTCTATGATCAGCCTCCCTTCCAAGAAGAACAACCATACCAATCAAGAGGCTTCCCCATACGAAGAAAACTTTCCTCCACAAGTCGAGGAGAAATACCAGTTGGAGTTGTCAATGGAAGCTTTCATGGACAATCTTCAAGACCATGTGCCACTCCACAACTAGAGTCGAAGAGCCAATTGGAGCTCATGGTGGAGCGGTTTGTTCGAGGCACCGATGAAGGGTGCTCGAACTTGGATCTCACACAACCCGAAGCGAAGTTCAAGTTGAAGCTTGCCATGGAGAATTTTGCAAGTACAAGCTCCAACACGGATTTCCAACCCCATCCCTCTTCCCGGTTTGACACTAGAAGAGAAGGTGGCACAAGCTTGTGCAAGCTATCGCCTCTCATTATTGGAAGAGAAGGTGGCACATGCTTGTGAAAGCTATCACCTCTCATCATCGGAGGAGAAAGAGGAGGTTGAAGGACCGATCAATGACAAGTGAAACCTGCGATCACTTCACTATCTTGTACTACTTCGTCTCTACGCCGCATTCTCGGAATTAGATTCTCACAAAGTTTGTGATATGTCACCCCGAATGGAACCGTCAACTGAAAACAACTACCACCAACGAATTTGACGCCAAAATTATCCTCTACTTTCTCCGATTTCCACCGAACGACTAGTTCAAATCTTCTAAAATCACTATAGAAAAAAAAACTCACTAATTAACTAAACAAAATCATAATATCATTTGAAGAATATAATTTAAAAAAATAAATAAATGTGTCTCTTACCTATTAGACATTTCTGCAGCAGCAACCAGAGCTTCTCCTCCTCTAACTTCGTCGATTTTTTGTGGCGAGCAACTGAAACGAAATTCGCTAGTTTTTATAGGGGAACCAGCAATACGCCAGCGGACTCGCCATAGTCCTGGCCGCCATCGCTAGGTACAAATTCCCAGCTACTCGCCTTAGTCTCTGGTGTTACCATCTTAGTCTTGGGCGCCGCCACTGCCACCTTTATCAAATGATCCAAAAAAACTTGGACAACGGCAGCGCGTGAGTCTCATGCGTTCTCGCCCAATTTGTTCTCCAAAACACAATAACTGTGTAAATACTTTTAAATCCGCCATATTAACGGTAAATTAAAAAAAATACAATATTTATGTCATTAATCCAATAGTTTAGGACAAAGTGACATGTTTTTATAGTTGGGGTGTTCTAGTGGAATTATCTCTTTACATTTGATACCAAAATTTTATATTTTGACATAAAATATCATTGGAAATTATGTTTGGTATCTAAAATATTTTGTTATGATATTTAGTACTTGAATTTTTTTAAATTTACCTATTTATACAATGTTTAAATGTCATTTGGATTTTTGAATCCATAGAACCCCAATCCATAAATTTATCAATATACCAATCTATAAATTCAATCCATTTGTCACCTCTAACAATAAAAATTTTCTGTTACGGCTGGTTATTGATAATAGTACTATCCATTGTTAAAATTCATTAAATAGAGATCTATTTGTCAAATTTACACAGTACAGAGACTAAAAATCGATTCATCAAAACTTAAGCCCTTGTCTTATTATTGTCCCTATATCTATGAAAATATTACGACTTACTCTCTCAATTGAGTTCGTTGGAATTACGCTAAGATGAAAAAAACTAAAATGTTAGCCAATGGAACCGCCGTATGTAATAAGCCCCACGTTTGTTGCCCCTTCCTCTTCCTCCTTTGCCGTTTCTCTTTGACTATAAAGTATAAAGGTCTCGTCGCCCACCGCGCCCTTCCAACCTCCTCCGCTCTCCGCCTCTCTCAGCTTTCCCTTGCCTCGCCGGCAACCTCAAAAGAAAGCAGGAAAAAAACCTGGAACCATCCGGCCGTCCACAATCCAGATTTGGATGCGTTGCATTTTAACGCCGATCCTCTCCTCCGTATCTAAAAAATGGCCGACGTCGCTGATGACGAATCCCTGTCCTCGTCGCCGCCGCCTTTTCCTTCTCCATCGAGACAGGTTATGGCTTCGTATCGCCGGCCGGTGGTGATCCGATCTGTTTGGGCCGACAATCTGGAGTTGGAGTTTGCTCTGATCCGCACTGTCGTCGAGGATTACCCGCTGATTTCGATGGACACCGAGTTCCCCGGCGTGGTGATGCGGCCGCCAGGTGTGGAGCAGAGTTACCGGCTCCAGGATCCGACGGCGCGGTACGCGAGCCTTAAGGCCAACGTTGACATGCTGAAACTGATCCAGGTAGGGCTTACGATCGCTGATCGGGAGGGCAATCTGCCGGATCTCGGCACCGGGACTACTTTCTTCATTTGGGAATTCAATTTCAAGGATTTTGACGTGACCCGCGACTCGCACGCTCATGACTCCGTCGATCTCTTGAGAAGGCAAGGGATCGACTTCGAGAAGAACACCAAGGACGGTATCGAGGCAGTGAAATTCGCCGAGGTGATGATTTCTTCGGGCCTCGTGTTAAATGATTCAGTTAGTTGGGTGACTTTTCACAGCGCTTATGATTTCGGTTACTTGGTCAAGTGTTTGACCCAGCGCCCATTGCCGGATAGGTTAACCGAGTTTCTGGACATAGTGAGGATGTTCTTTGGCGATAGGGTTTATGACATCAAACATCTGATGAGGTTTGTGGCGAATTTGTTTGGAGGTCTGGACAGGACATGTAAGACTTTGGGCGTGGAAAGGGTTACTGGTAAGAGTCACCAAGCTGGCTCGGATAGTTTGGCCACGCTCCACGCATTTCAGAAAATGAGGGAGAAGCACTTCAACAATAGGGAGGATGGAGATGTGGAGAAGTACGCCAATGTCTTATATGGGTTAGAGCTGTTACCGTCATAAAATCATGTTGGTTCCAGCTGATTTCATTCATAGAGATGCGACTTTCTGGCTTAGAAAGGGAGGTTTTTCTTTTCCTGTATACATTTTGAAGCTTTTCTTCAAGATATCAATGTTAGTTATCGATTTTAAATTTTATTGAGTGTCAGAATATACCTATACCTTTCTCTATGAATTATGATTGAGTATCAACTGTCTGCACACATAGCTTCGTGATGATTAGTGTTCTTTAATAGGCCTTGCTGGTGTTATGAAGAAGTGTGCAATTATGGTGGCCTGCAGCTTAGTTTGGTTTCTTCAATATGTTCAAGTTTCACAAGTACTTCTTCACCTCTAGAGGATGAAGTGCTGGATTAGGCATAGTTTAGGTGAATTGTGTTATGAACCAAATTGATTGATTCTAGATTTTCTCACCTAGTAGCATCTATCCGATTTAAGAAGTGTGTGCCTTAGAACAACAGATCGATTAATCATTTGAGAACCACACAAGTGTTTCTTAAGTAGTCAATGCGATTGTAGCATCCATGCACCTGCAAATTCTGTCATAGTAAGGAATCATCTCATGACTGTACTTGTAACTTCTTATTGTAAGGTTTCTTATATTTTCCCCTGTCGTTATGGATTACAACCTGTCAGCCTTGGGTCCCATGAGACCATTCATTAGCATTGTGTTTGGCTAGTTCCAGTTGTGCTCTTGAGCTGTTCAGGCAGCTCTTGAAATGGTACTGATTAGTAACTGATAACAGGTGCGCCTTAAATTTATAATCTTTTCACAGCTGTTATTTTGGTAAAGAAGTTGAAGGTGATCTGTGCTGGACATATATGTTTTTTTCTTCATCTGGAGGAATACAATATATATACTTCCTACATCTATGGATGTGCTGACTAGCTACTCTCATATGGCTTCGGTGAAACAACTCCAGAATATCTTCAGGATTTCTACTTACAGTTTCTGAAACAGGTTTCTCGGCTGTTGGTTTCCCATGATGCTATCTTCGGCTTGAGCAGAGGAATCCAAAGAGTAGTAGCGGATTTTTCAGGAGGTAACGTAGATTGCTTCTTTGCTTGGTGGGGATGTTATGATGGTTGCTCCATATTTGATTAGTTGCCATGGAACATCTCTAGACTTTTATTTATGTTCATAACTCTTAATTTTCATTATTCTATATTGTCTGTGATATTGACTCAACTTTGTTACATGTCCCTGAATGAGTTTTTCATTTGTATTTTTATCTGTGTATACCATAAATGGATTATGGGAGCTTCAATGATCTATAAAAATGACCCATCATGTTTGTAATCTTAATATACTGCATATGCAATGATAACCCTATGGCCTTATGGTAACTTTTGTGTGGTTTTTAGGTGATCTAAGCCTAGTGGTAGCAATGTTTTGACTTGAAACATATACATAAGTTTTCAACTTTACCCTGTCGATTATATTAGCCCATTTAGTTTCTGGGTCTTCCTGTTCTAATGTACCCTCTTGTCTCTCCGGTCTCCGGTCAACCTTTTTTTTCCTTTTAAGATGCCAGTTATCACACACTCTACGTACCATCTGATTTAGCTCTAGATTTTCAAGCAAGTTCTGACCAATGCGACTATATCTTAGTTTTGCTTGTGACTTGTGAAGTTAAGTTCAGTGCAAGCTGTTCATTCAAGTACTTGCTAATGTTATTAACGTTAAGAGGGCCAAAAGTGGACCACCTCGGGGGGCACGTTAGGCCCTTTAAAAAGGCTTCACATTGGCCTCTGCTGTTATATACATTAGATTTGGGCCCGCCCGTTGGCCGGATGAATCAAATCAGTAGTATAAATAATAATAATAATAATAATAATAATAATAATAGTTACCCAATATTAATTTATTTGGTATCAGGAAAGTCACAAATTATGCAATTACTAAAATTAGGGGGAAAATATCTATCATCAGTTTTACAACATCTTGACACTCATAGACAAAAGTCTTTATCAAATGTAAACAACAAAACTCATGCAAGTAACCAATTCATAAAAAAACTTAATATTCAAAACGCACTTCAATTTACTCTTTGTTGTTAGAAATTATTGCAAATTTTCTTTGGATCTTTTTGATTGCTTCGCCATCAAAATCATTTTTCTCCACACAACTCCATCTTTATTAATGCAATTTACATTCATTATCAATAGTCTCATCCTTCTTCTCCTATATTTTATTGGAAACCAAAAAATTTAATGGTAAACTGTTTGGAACTGTGAAACATCTTTTCATGATAGTAGAATTTCATTGAATGCAAAACTTTAATTGCAAAACTGCACTTGGATTTACTACTTGTTGTTAGAAATTACTGGACAGTTTTGGACTTTTTTGCAATTGATCTGCCATTAACAACATCAAATTGAAGTAAATATGAAATGTTTACTGTACAGTAATTCAAATTTGAAAGAAACCTCCTTTGATTTAACCTCTTGTTGACCTTATTTTATTTTTTAGATAACATTTAAATTTTTATGTTGGTATGATGAAATATTATCACATGCTTGGATAATTGAGGTAATTGATTGGAATTTATGACTAATTTGTTTGAATTTTATATGTACATTACGATTTTCATATTTGTGTTTAAGTTCTCGAAACTTTAAACTATTTAGACGGTTGAAACCTTAATATTCATTTGGAGATTCAAAAAACTAAAATCTTTAATTTTTGTTACTTTTCAAAAAGTTATGGATGTTTTTAGTGGCCACCTAGTTGTTTTACTTCATCAATGTCCAAGTACTTTTCCTTTGCTAAATGACTCAATTATTAGTTAATAATTCTAATACATTAATCAAATATACACACTAATTGGCATGCTATTTTAGAGGGGTTTTTTTTCAGTGTCTTTGTACTCCTTGGAGCTTATTTAAAGCTTAACATATAATAACAAAACTGTCTATTTTATCGGTAGCTTGGAATAATTTTTGTAGTTGTACCACACTCTTTGAGACTTGACTTGGATAAAAAATCCTATCATTTGTCATTCATATCTTCAACAGTGTTTACAAATTTGTAACCTTAACCAACCTTTATTATTCCTTCATTCAGGTTTTTAATAAGAACTCTATGATCAATTTACTCGATTATACACCTAAAATTGTACTAACAATTTATGAACATAACTTTTTGATTAGGTGCATTAATCTAGGGTATCAAATATACTCAAGTAAGAAGCTAGCCACTTAATGCATAGCTTCAGTGAAAATCCTCAAGCAAGGTAATCATATGTTGGAAATTTCATATAGTCATTATCTAAACATTTTTAAATTTTGGCTTAATGTAAGATGGGGATAGGGATGGCAAAATTATCCGTAACCGTGGATATCCGCCTGAATCCGACCTAATTGGGTAGGGTAAAACTCGAACCCAAAGGACTTTTAGTGGGTATGGGTAAAACCCGAACCCGAATATTACGGGTAATGGGTGGGCATGGTTTTTTTACAATCTAACCCGAACCCGCCCGATTATACACATGGATATGTATTTTTTTTGTAAATAGTCACTATTTTTCTCTAATGATATTTTATTTTACATATAAATATAATATTTTTATGAAATTGTGTTGTTTTAATTAATTTTCTTCTAGTGAATTATTATCTTACTTTTCCTATTATGTAATGTGGGAATACGTGTGAATGTTAACATATTGATTGAAGTTATAAAGATAAATTATTACTCATGGATAATTGTGGATACCCGAAACCCGAACGGGTATGTTCATGGTTTTGAATTTCTACACGTTTTTTATGTGGGTATGGGTAAAACCCGAACTACTTTGAGTAGGATAACGGATATGCACTATCCATCCCGACCTGAACCGACCCATTGTCATCCCTAGATGGGGATCAATATTTTGGAATGATCTCTTTCTCCCATGGATACACATTAATTTGTAAGATATATAAAATTATTATGCTATATATGTACTTCCGTTCAATTTTTTAACATAGTTCAAATAAACTATAAATATCAACATTCTCAAATCACCCAAATAACACCATATAATAAAAAAATAAACATATATCACCCTTATCTACAAAATTATAAATTATTATTCCATTTACTTAAGAAAGAGACCCGCCTGGATTACCAATAATAAGTGCACTCAATTGCTTATCTTGCAAATAAAGCTCCATTGTACTGAGCTAGACGTGTTGGGCCTTTGCGAATGGGGATGGACTTGGCTAATTTTTTAATAGAGCTTCAAAGGCTGTTTTAAGGAGCAAAAGACCAAAAGATCCTTCCGAACTCTGCGCATAAGCCAGAGAAAAGGGAACCAAAGGGGTTCTCACCAAGAACCTCCTTATATTATTGGAGGATACGAGGAAAGTAAAGGACCACTTGTTGAAGATAACTATTTTACGTTTACTGCAACTAATGCACTTGGGGTTAAATATTTTTTTACCAAGATTCTGTGTGATACTTGCTTACAGGGTTAATTTTATTTCAAAAGAGTTAGTGACATGAAGGGGGGAACATCTTCTTGTGATTGTTGTGGAAGGGTTTTTAGTCCTTTGTGTGCAAGGCATGTTTGCTGAAACAATTATCACTTTTGGGGTGAGAAGCAAAGATTTGATAGCGACTCACCATTCTCTTATTTCTGTTTATATTGGGCCACCTGTGACTTGGTCCTCTGTGTTTGGCTTAAGCCCTTTCTGTGCTCTCTGTTGTGCTATGATATGTCTGCTCTTGCATCAATGTTCTATTTCCTTGAGGATGTTCATTTGGTACTGTAATGACGCTGGTGCTGATTATGCAGTAGGTAATCATTCGGGACATGGTGGGAAGCTTTTTGCTCTAAAGCTTCTGTCGCCAAAAGAAGTGTAGAACACAAGAAATCCCAATTGGGATATTAGGGATTGGAAGAGTAGAAATTAGGGATTTGGAGAATTGGGGAAGAACAAGAGAGAGAATAGAGATTAGGGATTTGATAGTTTTCTGATTATTATTGCTTAATCCCCAAAACTAATGAAATGTGTCCTTA